TATTAAATGTTCATGGGAAAATTTTTCTATGTTGGTATTAGGTGTTACAGTACTACTATTATGGTATTAGGATTTACAGCATTTACAGTATTTACGGCATTACGGCATTATGGCATTACGGTTTTACGGTTTTACAGCATTACAGTTTTATGGTTTTACGGTTTTACGGTTTTATGGTTTTACAGTTTACAACTTTTATGACTTTGAGGTCTCATGCCAAAAATCATTTACGGCTTATACCATAATGCCGAATTTGCTGTAATTATGGAATTCCGATGACAAGTATAGTTGAACCATCTTTGCTTTATACAACGAAGGATAATATACCATCTGTGGAACATGAGAAGGTGGTAAATTTGATAAAGGAGAATGGATGAGACAAAACAGTGTTGAAGATTGTGATTGCTTATCCTGCAAAATTTAAGTATGTGAATAAAGCAATTGGACATAGTTATAATACCAGAAGTAATTCAATGACTTCAACAATCCAAATTGTGATTAATCGAGATAATGCACATCATCTGTTTGATGCAAAACATTTATATTTACTAGATCATATAAAGAACCATATTGAGGATTTTGATCCTGAAGGATGAGAATGATCAAACTTTAATTGAATATTTTAAATGATGCTAAACTAAATATTTATAATAAATAAATAAAAAGTCATTTTTACAAGTTAGTGTGTGCCCACACTTGAATATAGAAATTTGTAATGATATTTAAATATCTTGCATGATTTGGATGCTTATAATTTTTGAGTCAATTTATAAATTCAAATATTTGAAAGAGCTAATACTCATAACACTTGAATATTTATAGGGCGATGGGTAAACCAGATCCCTCTTCTTCTGCAGCCACACCCTAACCAAATATCAGGCATGCTGCAACAAAGTGAACATTGGTATTACCAAGAATTTCAGGGTTCAAAATTTAGTCATTTGTAATGTGACTAATATTAACAATTTTATAATATTCCATTTGGTTATCTTAAATGATATATTTTATACTTAGTAACATGAATGACAAAATCAATTATTTTGCATGTTTCAAAAATAAGAGATGTACAGTATTCTCTGGAATGTAAGCACCACCATTTTGACACGTTTTGGTCAACAAAACTGTGGGTGGTGCTTATATTCAAGACATTTTATTTCAGATAATTTGTGTGACATTTATGTGGGGATGAAAATGAAAATGAGGAAGATGAATGTGAAATATTAAATAGAAATGATGATTCAGCTGATGAATTAGATGAATTAGAAGAGGAGAAGTCTGGTGATTCTGGAAAAGAATAGTCAAAATAAAAAAATTTCTTATTTTTTATTTATTATATAAAAATAAATCAAATAAAAAATAATTCGAAATATATGTGGTGCTTATATTTATTTTTCTATTTTTTTGTTTTTTTTTTCATTGCAAATTCATACTGGTGCTTAATCTTTGAGTGGTGATTATATCCAGAGAATATGGTAATTAATTTTCTGTTTTTCTCTTTATTTCATTACTTCCACATATCACATCATTGTCTCTTCTTTTCTTTTATTCTTTTTCTCCATTCTTCTCTTTCCTTTTCTTTTCTTTCTTGATAATCATCAAACCATTGAAACAAGACCATCAAATCCTATTATGTAGGGATCACTGGGTCCTTGCCTAAAAATTGTTATAAATTTTAAAGTTTTGAGAATATTTTGACATTACAATAAATAAATGAAAATTTAATATTGTCTGAAATAAAAACCAAAATAAGAGAGTTATTATTATTATCCAATAAAATTTATGTGTCAAAAACCTACAAAGTGAACAAAAAAAATTATAAAATTACATATATAGGGGTAAGTGTATATGAAAAATATCAACAAAAGTAATAAATATAATGGTTCTAATGAATATGAAAAGGCAATCAATTTTTTAGAAAAAGGTTGTGATTGTGGTTGTTCTTCAAGAATCCTCAAGGAACAATTTGCAGAATTAAGGGAGTCCTTTCAAGCTCTTTCCAAATCTGAACAAGACATATTTTTAATGGCTCAACTTAAAACAATGGATGGTGGATTAACAAGCACTAGTAGATGACTTAAAAAGAAAACTAGATCTAATAAAAGAACTTTCTACCATTGGGATCACAATACACTCCTTTGTCAAGAAACTTATCTTAATATGTTAGGAATTGGTAGGACTTGTTTTGAAAATATCAGAAATCATCTGATAAAAAGCCAAGAATTCATGGCAATATTAAAAGAATGCCTCAATGGAAAACTAAAATGGTGATTGACAAAAATATTGCAGAAATAGTAAAGAATTTTCTGGAAAATTATGCAGAAGTCCATGGATTACCAAGTCCAAGAAGAAGTATAAATAGAATAACCCAATCAGTTATCTTTTTACCAACTGAAATGAGTTATAAATCAGTGCATAGAGACTTTCTGGCTGGCCTAGAGAAGATAACAAATTGAAAATTTTAAAATATGATCCTTCAGAAAGTCATGTCTACTGTCATAGCTATGTAAAATTTTTGTGAAACATGTCAATTTTTACTATATATTAAAATTGAAAGAACTTTTTACTTGATATTTGTACACAGATTCTTTGAGATTTTATTTTATTCCTTGTAAAATTTTAGATATGGTTTCATAAAGAAACAATAAATAATTAGCAGTT